AAATGTCCATCAGTGACAGACTGGATTAAGAAAATGTGGCACATATACACTATGGAATACTATGCGGCCATAAAAAAGAATGAGTTCATGTCCTTTGTAGGGACATGGATGAAGCTGGAAACCATCATTCTCAGCAAACTATCGCAAGGACAGAAAACCAAACACCACATGTTCTCATTTGTAGGTGGGAATTGAACAATGAGAACACTTGGACATAGGGTGGGGAACATCACACACCAGGGCCTGTCATGGAGTGGGGGAAGAGAGGAGGGATAGCATTAGGAGATATACCTAATGTAAATGACGAGTTAATGGGTGCAGCACACCAACAGAGCACATATATACATTTGTAACAAACCTGCATGTTGTGCACATGTACCCTAGAACTTAAAGTATAAAAAAAATTTTTTTTAAAAATAAGACCACAATATAAGTATTTTTATAACGGCTTTTTTTACTACTGGGTTCATACAGTATTAACGTCTTTCCAGGGATTCAGCCTGGACAGGCAAGGACAAATATAGGGTGATGATGGGAAGGTTAACTAAAGGATCATGAGGCTGCTGAAAGAGGATGAGACTCAGAGCATGTGGAAATTTAGGAGCAGAGGATGTTTTCTGTCCCTCTAGACTTTTACCCCAAGCCCCATAGAGGAGAGGGACTAGTATTTGAGTGAATGAGTGGAGATAACTGAGCCCTTGTGTCTGAGGATCTCCAACAACATGGAATGTTGAGCAGAGCAAGTTTCTGCTCCTGCTCAGGGACTCCCAGTCCCTGGAGGGTGGCAAGAGGGTGGCATGACAGGACTGAACAAAGCAAGGTGATGCTTCCACATTCACTTCTGCACTCAGCATATTCTATGACTTCCCTGCTAGGGGTGAGCAGGTACAAAAGTCGAGCAATCCTGGTGGCCAGTTGCCTGAAATTACCATAATCCAAATCTGGGGGGCATGTAGGAGCCTGTGGGGGAGCATGGGAAGGACCTGCTCCACCCACCCTAAACCAAGATGTATGCACATTAACCCCAGATTCCCACCTGATGCTGCTGTGACCCTTCTGAGTCACTTTCTTTCACTCTGTGTCTTCCTCCTACATGGCTTTCTGCCCAACTCCCACTAGGCAGGCTTAACACAAAACCTCCTTTGTGCTTAACACAAAACCTCCTTTGATCTTTGGGGGTGCTTTAGGCAAACACCTGTTAAGTGTTGGCTCAGTAGGCCTAGACCTTGCGCCTCCATGGCCTGGAGGCCTTGCAGGGACTGGGCCCCCATCCCTTAGGCACAGAATCATCATCCAGAGGACCGACACATCCATGCTTCTTCCTATCTGGGCTTTCTGCATCCTTTCAGAAGTGGAAACATTATGCTAAATGCTGGGGTCCTGTCTGAGGAAGAAAGTCCTGCTACCTCCTCCTTCTGATGATAGGATGATGGGTAATCCTGGATCTCCTTAGGAACCAGGGGCATCCCAACTGTCCCTCACAACATGTCATAAAGAAGTCATTTCACTTCTTGCCCTTTCTTTAGCTCTTGGCTCCTCTGTGGTAGGTTGGAAGCAGAATGCAAAAGTGCCACCCTCTGAGGGATATCAGGTGGCCAAAGCAGAGGTCCCTCCCATCTGTTCAGGGCAGCCTCTTTGTCTTCCTGCTTCCCAGTCCACTCCTCCCACTCATATAGACTCCCTGGTCCCTTACCTCACTGAGCACTAGGAAGCCACCCCTGCCCTGTTTCTCTATCTGCAGCCCCATGCTCTTGCTCAGGCTGCATGAATTTAGAGCTTTCTCTGTGATCTCTCCTGCTGGTGCAATGTTCCAAGAGCACCTGCTGCATAGATATCAGTAGGCTTTGACCACCTTTCCCTGCCCACCTACACTCTCACACTGCCACCAACTGCTTGGGCCCTAATAGTAACTTTCAGAATCTCTCTCCACACCCAGCTTTCTGGCTTTGGTTCTCCATACCATTCCCCTACCCATAGCCATGGTCCCTTCCTAGCTCCTCACTTGTCCCTCGGGGTCTGTGCCCACACTCCGCTATATGTGGAGGAATTATTTCTTCTTCTAATCCATGATATCCTCCATCACTAACTCTACTTCTGTTTACCACCAGAAAAATGTCTGCTTTTAGTAAAAGCCAGCTCCTTGACTTGGGTGCTTGCCCCCCACTTCTTCACTTCCACACAACAACGTTCTTCCAGAAATTCTCCCCTTGCTGTCTTGCTTATCCCTCTTGACTGGATCTTTTCTATCATCATCCAGCCATCCAACAGACTACATCTCCTGTCTTAAAAAAAAAAAAAAAAAAAAAAAAAAAAAAAAACTCATTCTGGATCCCACTCTCCCCTTCTGCACCTCTATGAAACAAAAGCCCTTGAAAGAGTTGATTTCGCTTGCTGTCACCAACTGCTCTTCTTCCATTATCTCTTGAATCCACTCCAGTCGTGTCCATTCCTCCATTACTCACCTGAGGCTATTCTCAGGGTCATTAGTGATCTCTATATTGCTAAATCTAATGGTCAACTATAAGTCCTCATATTAATTGACTGATTGGCAACTTGTCATTTCATTGGTCACCTTCTCCTTGAAACACTTTTGTTTCTTGGCTTCCAGTATGCCGCTCTTCTAGCTTTCCTTCTGTCTTGCTGGCTGCTGTGTCTCAGTCTCCTCTGCCTACCGGTTCTTCCTCCTCTTCTCAATCTTTTAACATTAAAGAGTCCCAAAGACCAGTCCTTAGATCTCTTTCATTTAAGCAACATACATTCATCTCAAACAATACAAATGTGAACTCCTGACTCCCCTTCTCCCACCATCACCCAGTAACACCAAACCTACTCCAATGTCAGTATTTCCCACATCAATTAATGGCAACTTCGTCCTGCCAGTTGTTCAGGGCAAAAACTTTGGTGCCATCCTTGACATTTTTTTTCTCTAATTGTCCACATCCAATCTATCAGTAAATCCTATTGTCTACCTTCAAAATGAACCCAGCGTCTAAATGCCTGTAATCTCCTCTGCTGCTGTAATTACTGAAGTAACCTTAAAACTAAATCTCCCTGCTTCTACTCTAATCTATACCCCCAATGCTCTATTTTTAGCACCATGACCTAAGTGATCCTTTTAGGATATAAATCAGATCTAAGCAGACCCCCTAATAGCTCCCCAATTTACTCAAAGTAAGAGCTAGCTTCCTTGCTGGCTTCCTACTAGGCCTTATACCATGTGGCCCCTTACCACTCTGGAGTCATCCTCTACCACTTTCTCCCTTTATTCCTTTATTACTCTGCTTTAGGTTCACTGGCTTCCTTGTTCCTTCTGACAGACTGGGCAATCGCCAACCTCCAGGCATCTGCATTAGCTATAATTTCTGGCCGGAATGCTCTTCCTCATTTACCCACGTGGCTTACTCTCTTATCACCCTCAAGTCCTTGCTGACATGTTAATTTCCTAGTGAGACCTGCCCTGAGCTCCTTATTTAAAACTATACCCCCATTCAAGTCTTCTCTAATCCCATTACCCTGATTTTTTACATATATCTGGTCACCTTCTATATACTATGTTTTTAATTTATACTTCTTTTCTCTTCCTCCCAGGCATGCTCCCATCGTAAGCTCCTTGAGAGAGCAGATTTTTTTCCCCTCTTATGTTCACTGCTGTATTGCCGGTGCCTATAAAAGTGCCTGGCATATAATAGGTGCTCAATATTTATTGAAGGAATGAAGAATGGGTGAATGAATGCCATTCATTCTCCAGCTTGGCAACCTCATTCTGATCCCTTAAACATTTTACTGTGTGTTTTTAAAAATTATTATACAGGGGTTTCTCCAGTGAGTCACTATTCTCTGACATGGCATGCTGTTGTTTGACACCATGCCTCTGTTCGTGTTGTTCTCTCAGGCTGGGGAAGCCTCTCTACTCCCTACCTCCTTCCCAACTAATGCCTGCTCATCCTTTGGAACTCAACCTACATATCATCTCTTCTAGGAAACTTTCCATGAACATCCCCCAAAACTAGATTAAGTGCCCTCCTATGTACTTTCATCTTATTGCTTCTAATGACTTTTTATATGACTGTCTATCCCAGAGTTCATGAGCTTTATGAGACAAGGCCTGTGTATTGTTCACTGTTGACTCTGTAGTGCCTGGCACAGTGCCCGACACACAGCAAGTACTTGAATATTTGAATTATTGAATGCAAGACTCAGCCCAAAGTTGTTTTTATTTTGACCCTTTTGGGGATCTCTTCATCAACTAGTCTTCATTCTAGGTAGCATTCATTCCTTGCAAATGAAAGGCAATGGAGGTTGGAACAGGCAACAGGACTAGAGTGGGCTCTCAGGTGGGTTACCCTTAAAGATCTCAATAACAACAGGGAAAAGACAGGGAGATTCTATCATCTGGTTTTGACATCTGTCATATTAGCTGTGTGCTTCTGATAAATGTTCCTAAAGGAAGGCGCACCATGACACTCTAAAGGACCTTCCCTGCAGGTTGTGAGCATATACTGTATAGAAGTCATCAATGAATTTTGCCTGTGGGCCAAAAATGCATTAGATTCCTGGCCACTGTTTCTTATACTATCGTCATGTCCACGTTGATCCTCTGAACCCAACACACCATGGGACAATAGAATTCAAGCCTGACCTTCACCTTCAATGCACCTAAAACAAGGGCCTTTCTTCTCTGTTCAAGTCCCTTTATCCACATTCTACGGTGGGACTGGGAGGAGTCATGTGGAATGCGGACCCATCTGAAATAAAATGTGATTTAAGCTTCTATACCACGTAAGAAATACTTTTTAGGTCCTTTACTCTTTCTCTGACTATCATATACTACACTGAAAATGAGGAGGCACAAACAGGTGGCTCGTTGCTTAAAGGTACAAAATATATTTGGAGAATGCCCTGCTTCACCTGCATGTTAATGGAAATGGCAATGAAAGCCTTTTTCAGGGGGATGCAGAGGTTCAGGAACCTATGAACTCCTTTTTCTTGTAATGGGTATTCTTGCATAAACCAGTGCCTTCTGCTGAGGTGAGTTGAGACCTGGGATAGATTTCCTGGTTGAGTGGCACAAGTCATTTGAGGACAGAGTTTGGAACATTTGTAGGAGTGGCACAGGACCCAGGATTGGCTCGACTGAAGGGAGTGTTGCTAGAGCAGATTATTTAGGCACTGGGGGGCATCAGAGAAGATCAGGCCTTCCTCAGTAGAAGGAGGCTGAGCCTCAGGGTCCTCTGTTGTCTTCTCTGTTGTAGCTCCCCACACATGATATTTGGTGACAGTTGGACTCTTCTCAACATTTTTTGTCCTGTCTTGGGTCACTGTCTCAGCCTTAGAAAGGAGAATAGATTCCTCATGCCTTCGATCTTTCATTTCAGGGTTCATCCAGTGCAGAAACAGCTTCATCTTGTTATCCAAGCCAACTTCTGGAGCTTCTGGAAGGATGATGCTCTTGTGAGTATGGACTCCTCTTACCAGACCCTGCAACTCTTATTCCTAGAAAGTGTGACCCTGCAAATTTTGACCCTGCAAATGTTGCCCTGTAAAACATGGCCCTGAACCATTTGACCCTGAAAACTTTGAATCTGAAAAAAATTTACCCCTTCAAATACTGTACTTGCAAAATTTCGGCCCAGCAATTAATGGCCCAGTAAATTGGCCCTTTAAGCTCTGGGCACTCCAGGTTTGGCATTCTCAGAAATCCTTGTTTGGATGAGGTTATTCAGCTTACTCTAACAGCTTTGCAAATTATTCTTATCTGGTCTTTTGCCCCAAGTAATCCTGGAGGATGCTCTTGGAACTCAAGGTTAGGGAGAAGCTGGTGAAGGAGCAATAGCCAGTACTGAGAGGATGGAAATGGGACTCCGCAGATCCAGACAGATCCTTGCTAGTCCCTGCTCAAGGCAACCATCTTAGCTAGACTAAAGTTTTACATGAGAAAGATCCTGGAGATATATTTGGCAAATTGTGAGCTCTGGAGTTCTGCTTAGATGTGCCCCGTTCGCCCCTGAATCTCGGCAGAAAGGGTGCTCTCTCTGGCTGGGGAGAGCTCCAATGCTGTCCAGATACCCCCTTCTCTGTGATTCCCAGCTGCTTTGAACATCATTGAATGTCACTGGGTTGTCTGTTTTCTCTGCCAAAGTAGGGACTTGTCCTTACTTTTGCAGAGACCTGGTCTAAGAGGTTCAGGGCCCTCCAGGCTGGGTTGTTGACTCCAGCCTCCAGCTGAACAGAAAGTACCTGGGCCTCTGTCATGCCTCCACTGGGTGTGAGATCCCAGAATCCCAGTAGGCATGGGGTACTGCTCAGGAACTTGATCACCTGTAGCTCTGCTGCACTGTCTTTGGTTCAACTGCAAGCTGTTCTTTCAGGCCAACCCATTCTGGATCTGGGGCACATGGGATGCCTGGTGGGATATGGAGTTTCTGGAGCAATGTTTTCCCTTGGTTTAGCAACCTTTAGACTCCTAAAGGATCCCTGAGTGGAGATTTTTTGGGATGGTCAAAATTTGTTCCCTGAATTCCCTTGTCTTTATGGGACTTCCCAAATGTATCTTGAGGAATTTATTTTTCAGGTAAAAATTTAGTTTGGCCAAGATGGGTGCCTTGAGTGATTAGGGCCTGTGAGGATCTGTCTGCCTCTCTAGCAGTACCATCTCCATCAGCTTGTATTTTAGCCCAGAACACTTGTACATTATCTACACAAGCCTCATTGGTGTTTTGAAAGCATGGCCCAGGACTTACACATTGCTGTTTGGATGAGACTGAGTCAGAGGCTCTGATGGGCTCAATCTGTGATTGTGGATTCATGAGTGAGTGCCTGGGCCACAGCCCTGGAAAGAGCCACATAATAGAGAGCAGGCAGCCCTGACAGAAAGGCCAAAACTTGTCTCAAGTTTCTCAGTGGCTTCCTGGTACAGGGTCTGAGCAGCTCAGGATCATCAGTAACAGCATCTGGTAAGGCCTGTTGCTGCTGGTCAAGGGCTGTCAATATTCAGAGTGTCCCTTCCTGATCTGTGTAGGGGCTGATATGTGTCACTTCCAGGTCCAGGTGTTTGCTTTTCAGAGGACAGGGGCACCAAGTTGCTGCCCAGGCCCTTGGAATACTGCAAGGTGTATTCCAGTGACTTGTAGTCCCAACAATGGCAGATGTGGGCAGGGACAATGCCCTAGCAGATCTTCCCATATTTGTAATCTATGTGGCTCTGCAACATGACCTTGGCCTGAGGAAACAATTGCAGACTGGCCCTCCTGCTACAGTGGATTAGAGCAGGCCACTATTCCCACTGCCCTCTGGTGCTGCATGTTGGGAAGACCCACATAGGTCAGGGTTGTGCTGCTCCAGGGCAGGGATTATTGGTCATCAGGTCACAGGAGGAACTGGATAGACTGCTGGATCTTTTGAATCAGGTCCCAGCAATGGCAAATCAACCCTCTGTTTCAGTTGCTCCTGGAGGTAGAATTCCAGCAGCCTCTCGGCATGGTCTAGGAGAATGCTACCTCCCTCTTGAGGACTAAAATGGACTTCACCAATCAAAGAGGGTCCTGGATCTAGTGGGAAAGGCTGCAACATGTCTCAGGGCTTACATTATATGATTTCCTGGATCTACAGAGATTTCTGGACAACAGCTGGCAAACTCCACTGAAGCTGGAGCTGCCTCTACAGCAGGTGCCACTCCAAGGCTTTCACTTAGCCTAAGTCAGATACAGGACATTGATCTGGGTTTGTCCATGGTCAGATGGAGAATGTGGGGGAAAAGATGGGGAAGGACGGGGGATTTTAATTAGTACGGAGGTGAAGGAGAAATCATTGAAGAGAAAAGGCCAAGGGCTCCCCTGTTTTGGAGATCTCTAAAGTCAGACCAGGGATCTCTAAAGGCAGACAGTAATATGCAGAAAAGAGAAACCACAGTAAGGTAGCTACAGGTGTGGTACACTGAGGCCTCAGTGCATCCCCCAGGCAATGGACAGAGGCCACTTAGAAGCTGAAAGAGGGGAGAGGGTGGAGCTAGAGCCATGGGGGTTGGGATTTGTTCACAGTAATTTTTCTGCTCTGAGTCCATGGTGGATCCTTCAAAAACCCTGAAAGTTTAGGTGGACCAGCTAACCTTCCATGAAACCCAGAGTCAAGGAGATGGAAGCTCATCTGTTCAACAGAAGCCTTAGAGATAGCGTTCAGGGTGAAAGAAATGGCTGTCTGTTTTCTATCCTTTGGAAAATTAGAAGTGGTGTGGTATAAGCTGCCACAGGAACTCTTCCACAGATCTTGGGAGACCTCAAATGTGGGAATATGTGAAACAATATCCTTTTCTTTTTTTCTTTTTTCTTTTTTTTTTTTTTGAGGCGGAATCTCGCTCTGTCACCCAGGCTGGAGTGTAGTGGCACGATCTCGACTCACTGCAAGCTCTGCCTCCCGGGTTCACGCCATTCTCCTGCCTCAGCCTCCCGAGTAGCTGTGACTACAGGCGCCCACCTCCACGCCCGGCTAATTTCTTTTTGTATATTTAGTAGAGATGGGGTTTCACTGTGTTAGCGAGAATGGTCTCAATCTCCTGACCTCGTGATCTGCCCACCTCGGCCACCCAAAGTGCTGGCATTACAGGCATGAGCCACCGTGCCCGGCCAACGATATCCTTGTACTTGGAGATTCCTCAGGACTTTTTGGACATTGCAATAGCAGTTGAAAGGAATGTAGGGTCATAGGGTGTTGTTTTAGGTTTGGGAGCTCTGGGTTCAGGGAAAGAAAGGGAATCTAGTATTCAAGGGCTGCTGACCTTGGTTCTCCAGGACAAATTTGGAGTTGTTTTTCTTCCTCTCCTGCTGGCTCAGAGGAATTCCAGGCTTCTCAAAGTTTGAAGACAGAGATCCCATGACCTGGGACACAACTGGGACTTGCGATCTCTGTCCTCGCTGAAAGTGATCAGCCCAGGAATCTTGGACGCTGTCTGCACCAGCTGACTGGGCAGCTGACTGGGTTAAAGATTTCTGATCCATTAATTGTGACAGTGTTGGAGTTACAGATGCCAGTGAAAGCTCTTTGGATTTCTGGGAACCCGGATCCTGACTATGCTCAAAAGACACATTAGACGTAGACAAAGCCTCTAGGCCAGAGGAGCCCTGTGATGGCCCCTGTGAAGTCAGGGAGATCTGGTTGTTCTCACCCGCCAGCAATTGCTGAATCTCCAGAGCCATAACATTGCAAATTTGGCAGCAGGGATCTGCACACAGAATTCGCCGCACACTTCCTTCCTGAGGAAGCCAGCCCTGGCTGGGAAGAGAAACATGACAAACATTAATGATGGAGTGACCTCTGCCTTCTTGGAAAAGTGTGGGCCGGGGTTGGCATTGTCCTTTCCCAGTCCTGAAAATCCTGGGGCCTACACTCTCTTGTTGTCTACCTCTCTGCTTTTCTTTCTAAGAAAATGCCATTTGGAGGCCGGACACAGTGGCTTACGCCTGTAATCCTAGCACTTTGAGAGGCTGAGGTGGGTGGATCACCTGAGGTCAGGAGTTCAAGATCAGCCTGGTCAGCATGGTGAAACCCCATCTCTACTAAAAATACAAAAATTAGCGAGGCATGGTGGCACTACTACTACTAGTAGCAGGTGGCTCCCTGCTACTCGGGAGGCAGAGGTAGGAGAATCGCTTGAACCCAGGAGACAGAGCTTGCAGTGAGCTGAGATTGTGCCATTGTACTCCAGCCTGGGCAACAAGAGTGAAACTCTGTCTCAGAAAAAAGAAAAAAGAAAATAAAAAGAAAAAGCCATTTGGCAAGGTGGGCTGGGCTGACAGTCTGGAGCTTGTTGGGCAAGGCTTCAGACAACCATGGAATGGCATGGCCCTCAGAGAAGGCTGGGAGCTGCGGTCAGTTCTCTGTTGACCGTGTTGAAAAGCTGAACTGGGAGAATGGAGCCAGGTGGTTAGCTGATGGGGCATCACCAGTTAGAACATGGATCAGTCTCATTTGAGGCTAAGAAACCCAAAGCCTGGTATTTGGGCTTGAAGTTCATGTAGAACCTCTGCGTTCTGAGGGCTATTTGGTATCCCTGCTGATATACCCAACATCTTTTGGGACTCAATCCTGTTCTCTAGAAATCTTAAGAAATGGTTAAGATGATAGGCTGCCATCTGAGGGCTATCTCCCTACTGACAGAGCCAGTGGAGGTAATGTCAGCAGAGTCCAGTTAGACTCAGAGGAGTGAGAATAAAGAATAAGACAGGGATGACTTCTTTATGCAAAATCCATTCCTCTTGACTGAATAGCTTGTCTCGTGGCTGAATGCAACCCCGTGTAGAGTCTTTTATGAATTATACACTAGTACCAGCCTGAATTCTAGAACTACTGTGACCCTAGCCCAAAGCAGAATTGGGTGACCTTTCCTCCTGAGCTGTCTGGCCCAGCCCCCATGACCTGGCAACTCTTATCAACTAGCGAACCAGCCTCTACTGTGTATGTCTCCTTCCCATCCATTATCCCTCTTCTCATCTCTACCCCAAGCCAAGCTGAGAAATGATCACAAACCAGACTAGCAGCTGGGAGACTGCAAAGAACAAGAGATTACCTTTTCATGAGAAAGAGCAGCTTCCCCAACTTCTTGGCTTCTTCCTGGGAAGTTCTCCTAGCTGAGGAAACAGAAGATAGTGTTATGTGGAACTGGAGAGGATTCAGGAACATCCTATAAGAAGCTGAAGGCCTTTTAATGAGAGGATACTGAAAACTCCAAGAGTCAGAACACTAAGTCACATCTGTGTACAACTTAACCATTTACAATGTGTTGTTCTGTACCTCATCTCATTTGTTCTTCACCATCACACTGGGAGTGAGGAAGGATCATCACATGCCCATTTTATGGAGAACAAGACTGAGAGTTGAAGTGAGTTCCACAGGTTTGTAAAACTAGTAAATGACAGAGTTGAGGACTTATGCCCTACTTCTTCATTCTTTATTCTCAGGAGGATAAGATAGAGAATTTTTTTAATGTCCCTAGGCTCTGATTTTCCACCCAAGAAAGTCTTCCATGAGAAATTGTCCCTGAGGGGGTACTAGAGTCTGCAGTGGTTAGAGCACCTGGCTCTTAGCACCAGGGGTCATACAGGGTCAGGATCCATGGGAACCTCACCCACAGTAGAAGCGAATCAGAGGAGAGACTGGGACTTTACCTCTTGATGTTCTATCTCCAGACTTTTGTTGGACTCTTCGGTGACACTTAAAGACAAAAACATTAGAATGTAAAGCTGCTACACCACTTTTTCCGATATCTAAAATGAAACAAAACTCATAAACATTTCCCAGTCTTTTTCTGTGTTCCAATTTTATATACTCTTCTTTCCTTTCTGTATTCTTTTTCACCCCAAGAGTTTCCTTGTTTGCTTATTTCCGACTCCCTTTCAGGCTCTTCCATACTCCATGCCTCCTGCCCTCATTCCTTTCATAAGTTCTGTGGGGACTTTAGGATGAGATGGGAGGAAAAGTGGAACAGATTAAAGGAAGGGTGGGTCTAGAAGCCAAAGGAGTTCAGCCGTCAAATGGCCCTAAATAGCCGCCAACCAGAATAATCACCCGAATTGGGAGCTCTTCTGGTGTCCAGTGAGGAAATCCCCTTAAAAAAGCAAGGGCTAACAGTAACAAGAGAAAGCTGGGGGATAAAATCTTGTTTGAGGCACATCAATTTAGCCATGGTCATAGTGTTTCCCTACCCGGCAACAGCTCCTGTTAGGTCCCAACCTTAATTTTTGGTGGCTCTTTTTCACTTGCCAAATAATTAATGCAATAATGCAGATGGATCCATAGGTGTATAAGGGATATCCAACATCCCACAAAACAAAGGTAGGGCTCAACATGATCTAAACCTCACTAGCCATCCTTCTCCCTAGTCTTTCACTGTCTTGGAACCTAATACCTCCAGATTCTACACCTCATCATTTCTGCCTCACAGAAGAGGGATCCAAACCATCAGACCGCATCACAAAGCCCTCCTGTTCCACAAGGCAGGGATAGCATCACAGACCTTTATCTGTTTTTAGAGAGGCTTACTGTGGTGATTCAATGTTCAGATGAGGGTGTCTGGTGCTCTGTATGGGCTACAGAGCCTGGGGCAAAAGATACCAAGGTCATGGGCAGCATGTACCTTTTCATGTTCACTCTACTCTCTATACCCTTATGGCTCAGCTCTCTCCTTTACTACAATGGCCTGACACCTATCCCTATAAAACCGAGTCTATACACACTACATGCCCTATAAGAGAGACAGTGGATAGATCAGAGGAACTCCATGAACTACATCGTCTGTACTGGGAAGATAACAACAACAACAACAACAAATACAGAGGATAGGGCAGGCATCATATTGTTAAATCTTGGAAACCAATTTTTAATGTCACCAGCAATGATATATAGTCAGTACAGAGAGGCCCGGAAAGAGGGCAGTGTATGACGTGTCAAGGAAAGGACAAAGCTGTTGTTCTTTTAAATAACTTTCTGAGAGTTAAAGAAGGACTCCTCCAAATCTGTGTGGTCCAGCCTGAGATGGGTGAGCAGAGATTGTAAGCACTATCTTTCAAGGAGGCAAACGAATGATGCTCACTTCTGGAGCTCTGTACAAGGCTTGATTTTCCAGAATTGCCTCTACAGATTTTATAGCATCTAGCCTATTCATGGAGGTGAGTTATTGGCAAAACTTTCGATTAAGGTCAACAAACTTGTGGCTCTTTGGTTGAATCCACTATGGTCGGAATGTTTGCCTGAAAGAGTGTTTTATGAAAATCTGAATTTGAATAACTTTAGGCAGAGCAGGATTTTCCCTCATTCAACCCTAGGATCTACCTCTCCTGTGCCCACTGATTCTCACATTAATGTTAACTTCATGACCCCGATCGATATTATGGCATGTCCCGAACACCCTAGGATTTCTGAGTTTCCTTGAGAAGTTCTTGCCCTGATAAGAGTGGCTGGTCTTAGGCTCAAAATCTCTGAAAAGGGGCTGGGTACAGTGGCTCATGCCTGTAATCCCAGCACTTTGGGAAGCTGAGGCAGGTGGATAACCGGAGGTCAGGAGTTCAAGACCAGCCTGGCCAACATGGTGAAACCCTGTCTCTACTAAAAATACAAAAAATTAGCCAGGCATAGTGGTGGGTGCGTGTAATCCCAGCTACTCGGGAGGCTGAAGCAGGAGAATCACTTGAACCCAGAAGGCACAAATTGCAGTGAGCCGAGATCACACCACTGCACTCCAACCTGGGTGACAGAATGAGACTCTGCCTCAAAAACAAACAAACAAAATCTCTGAAAAAGGTATTTGATCCTTCCTCCAGCATTCGTTCCTCTACCAGACAGGAATAGTGAGCGCTCAGTACATGCTTAACCCTAAGTTGGGCAGTGTCAAGAGTACAAAGACATTTGGGTTGTGTTACATACCTGCTTTCAAGATTCTTAAATATCTAGTTTCAAAGACAAGGCATTCACAAGAAGCAAAAGCCAATCTTTTGCCGGGGAAGGGGCTGGAGAAGGGGGAAATCAAGTGTTATTGTTTAATGGGTACAGAAGTTTCTGTTTGGGGTGATGAATACAACCATCTTATTCATAAGCGAATGCCCTTAATGGCACTGAATTGTACACTTAAAAATAACTAAAATGGTAAATTTTATGTTAAGCATATCTTACCATAACTTAAAAACAACCAAAAAATTCATTAGCACAAGGGTTTCTTTTTGAACTAGCTATAAGGAAAAATATTCTGAAAATGATTTGACAAACAAATGGATTAGTGAACATTTTTCTCTCTTTTTTTATTTCCACAGGTTATTAGGGAACAGGTGGTGTTTGGTTACATGAGTAAGTTCTTTAGTGATTTGTGAGATTTTGGTGCACCCATCACCTAAGCAGTGTACAATGTACCCTATTTGTAGTCTTTTATCCCTCACCCTCTCCCACTCCTCCTCCCAAGTCCCCAAAGTTCACTGTATCATTCTTATGCCTTTACGTCCTCATAGCTCCAACATATCAGTGAGAATATATGATGTTTAGTTTTCCATTTCTGAATTACCTCACTTAAAATAATAGTCTCCAATCTCATCCAGGTCGCTGTAAATGCCATTAATTCATTCCTTTTTATGGCTGAGTAGTATTCCATCTCATATATATATACACCACAGTTTCTTTATCCACTCATTGACTGATAGGCATTTGGGTTGGTTCCACATTTTTGCAATTGCAAATTGTGCTGCTATAAACATGCGTGTGCAAGTATCTTTTTCGAATGACTTATTTTCCTCTGAGTAGATACCCAGTGGTGGGATTGCTGGATCAAATGGTAGTTCTACTTTTAGTTCTTTAAGGAATATTCACACTGTTTTCCATAGTGGCTGTCCTAGTTTGCACTCCCACCAGCAGTGCAAAAGTGTTCCCTGATTACCACATCCATGCCGACATCTGCTGTTTTTTGATTTTTTGATTATGGCCATTCTTGCAGGAGTAAGGTGGTATCACATTGCAGTTTTGATTTGCATTACTGAACATTTTTCTTAAATGTCCTTCTTATACCTACAAAAGGAAAATAGATCTTCATATTAAGGATAATTTAAGAAGAGCCCTGCCTGAAAATTGGGCAAATTTGAGCTATTTCAACATCTGCCCTGAACTTGCAAATTCCATAATGCAGGAATGAGAAGACTTTTTCAACCAAAGAGCACTGAATGAAAGGTTAACAAAAATCAATTAAAAGGCAGTTTGAGTCAGCTTTTTAGTAGCAGGTTATCAACATACCTGCAAAGTAGCCTGGATCCTTCATTACTTTTATTACTCCTACTTAACCAGCTGCTGCCACCCTCTATGCGGCTGTAACAGTTTTATCACCCATTAGCCTGACCTCTTGCCCCTGGCAGAATCACCACATTCTGCAAATCCTGCACCTGCTCCTGCCGGTGCACTACTTACCTCACAGATAACCCGCAGCCTCTGCCCTCTGACCAAGACATTAAAACCGTCTACTGAACACTCCGCTCCAGCAATTCTCCTGGCCCTTGCTCCTCTGTCTCAGAGCTGAGGAATTAGAGCCAAGGGCTGAGCCAAAAATGGTCTCATGCCTTTTTGCAGATTAGGCCTTTAGCATAGGTTTATTTACTGGTTTGGGGCTCATCGACAAAGGTGCTTGTGCGGACAGGACAGTGGGATCAGTGTCTTCCTAAACAAGGGCACATTCATGTAATGAACACAGCTAAGCCTGGCATTTCTCACGATGTGGGCATGGATCATCACATTTGCCCTTCCTGCCTTGTGGTTGAGAGCGAATAGCAAACAAGGGAGATGAAGTACATGAAAAGCCTCTGTGGATGCTGGAGGGCTGCACAACTATCAAGGATTCTTCTTCATTTGTTTCTAGAAAACTTGCTTTAAGCCAGACCCTGCTTTCATTATAATGCTGCAGAGCCACAATGATTGCAATAGAATTTCTTCAAGGAACTGTTCATGGCTACCAGTTCATACGTACCATGGGTCCTATCGCCTTGTAAAGAAAAATGTGACTGACATGCCACTGATGTGAGACTTGTCCCTCCACACAAACCTTACGAAAGAGCTTTGCTGTGTCTCATACTCAGAAAATACTAGTGAACATCTCAAATATACCAAGGTGCCGCGGACAGAGATGCATAGTTGCTGCGACTCAGCGGCAACGCTTTTATGGATGAGTACCTTTGTTAATGCCCAAGAGCTAGAATTTCCAGGGAGTTGGGCAGGAAGCCCCAGAGCAGTGTCAGGCAGCAGAACCACCAGCGCTCACACAGCGGATTACTACTCAATGCGGAAGTGTGGGGAGTAACGGTAGATGGCAGCCAGAGACACTAGAGGGCAGCACATGCCCACCCAATACGCCTAGTCCTGTGCCATCTCTACCCTGACAGGACCTTTCAAAGGTTTTCTTCTCCAGCGGGCTCTCAATCCCAGCCTTACATCAGAATCACTCGGGAGCTTGTTAAAAATATAGATTTCCTGGTTTCACTCCAGACTAATGAATCGGAATCTCTATGTGCAGGGTCCAGCAACCTGTATATTAAATAAGTATCAAAAATAACCCTTAAGCAAGAAGGCACTGAGCTATGGATTTGTATTTAAGACTCTGAAGAAACTATATCCCTCCCCTCACACTCAAAATTTGATTGAATTTCAGAGGCATTGACTCCACTTATGGACACCATGGGGAACTCAAGGAGCCTGGTTAAGAAATTTGAATACAATTTATGCCAAGCAAAACACCATCACTCGGAGGTGGGAGCCTCAGCAAGGCCAGGGTCCTTCATGTTTTAAAAAGTCATAGGAATTTTTCTTTTTAATATTTTTTATATTAATAAGAATATAAAAAAAGAGAAAAAAGAGAGCAGACCAATGACCAACATTGAGAATGAGAGAGGTGACTCACCAAAATTCCAAAGATATTTAAAAGACAATCAATTAATGTGAAGGCCAAGCACAGTGGCTCATGCCTGTAATCCCAGCACTTTGGGAGGCTAAGGTGGGTGGATCACTTGAGTTCAAGAGTTTGAGACCAGCCTGGGCAACATGGCAAAACTCCATCTCTACAAAAACTACAAATATTGGCTGGGCATGGTGGTGTGCACCTGTAGTCTCAGCTACTCAGGAGGCTGAGGTGGGAGGATCACTTTTTGCCTGAGAGGTGGAGGTTGCAGCAAGCTGAGATCTCACCACTGCACTTCAGTCTAGGTGACAGAGTAAGACCCTGTCTCAATAATGATAATAATGTGAAAATTTTAATGTCTATAAATTGACAACAAAAAATTGACATCTTTAATGTCTATAAATTGACAACTGCTATGGTTTGAATGTGTTCCTTCCAAACTTTATGTGTTGGGAACTTAATCTCCAGTGTAACAGTGTTGGGA